TTTATAGAACCTGAATCACAAGGTTATTGTGCACCGTACAATGGAAAGATTTGTAAGAAATATTTAACTGGAATTGGAAAAGTATGGTTTAATGATTCCAATGATAATCCTGGAGGATGGTTAAATGAACGTATTACAACTAATTTATGGGAAGAATTGATACAACGATTAGTTGAACCATGCCGTTCAGCTGCAGAAGTATATATTGATATTAGATTAATAAAAATGTAGAAAAATATAAAAAGTATTATTTGATCATTTCAGAAAATGTTATGCATGTATGCTTTTCCACAATGTCACAACTCAGTTGGTTTACCATTATGTTATGAAGACTGTATGGCAGTACGTCATCAATTTTGTTTTAATGATTGGGCAATGATAGAAGATAATAAACAGAGGGATATTTATATCAGATCAAGAGGTCATTTTACATTACCAGATTGTGAATCACTGCCAAAAATAATTAAAGGAAAAATAACTTGTTCTCATATTCATTTGACTGACATGAATGAAGATCTTGTTACATGTAAAAGAAATTTAAAATGTTTCTAGAAATTATCAAATATTATAATTTATAATTTTTTAATTAAGTATAATTTTAGATGATTGCGTCAAGGGCAATGGTAGATTTTATATGGGCAAAGTAAATAAAACAAAACTAGGCTTAGATTGCCAGTCATGGAATGCACAAATACCACATAATCATGATAGACCACCAGATGTCTTCCCTCAAATTCGTTATGGAGAGAATTATTGTAGAAATGCAGGTGGAGATGAACCAATGCCATGGTGTTTTACTATGGATCCTCATATACGATGGCAATATTGTGATATTCCTATATGCGGTAAGAATTTAATACCTAGTGACATACTAAGATAGAAATATTATATAATACATACTCATTGTAATTTTTTTTTATTTTTAATACAGATAATACAACAAATAAAATTCCAGAGATAGATCCTAAAGATTTAGTAATGGATACATTATTTACTCCAATGTTTATATTAATACTGTCTTCATTAGGATTTGTAATTATAACTGGAACTTTATTATCCATTATTTTAAGTCATAGACTTCATAAAAGACATCAAGGATATAATCCTACAGATAATCAGGTATATAAAAAAATAATAAACTTCTATTGATTATATTATTATGAAATCATATAATTTTAAAAGTGCAATGTCCAGAAAAATATTGCTGAGTCTGGTCTTTATAATCGAGCAAATAAAATAATAATAATAATCGCAAATAAAATAATAATAATAATAATGCATCGTATTGTTATAATTATATAATTTTCAGTATGTCAGTATTGATTTGGACAAACTACCAAGTAATGATGCATACCATAAAACAAGTGCACAACTTAATCCAAAATTGGAAAAACTCGAATTTCCAAGAAATAATATTATTTATGTTCGAGATTTAGGACAGGGTGCTTTTGGTAGAGTATTTCAAGCAAAAGCACCTGGTCTAGTTCCAGGTGAAGAATTTACCAATGTTGCTGTAAAAATGTTAAAAGAAGAAGCGTCAGATGATCTGCTCAAGGATTTCGAACGAGAAGCATGTCTTCTTGCCGAATTCGATCATCCAAATATCGTTAAATTATTAGGCGTATGCGCTTTAGGTCGACCAATGTGTCTTCTTTTTGAATACATGGGTCGCGGTGATTTGAATGAATTTCTCCGATCTTGTTCACCGGGAAATTATATTATTCGAAGTCTAGAAAAAGATGAACATTTCACAGATTCTCGTTTATCGCATATGGATTTGATTAATATTGCACTTCAAGTAGCATCTGGAATGGTATATTTGTCAGATCGAAAATTCGTTCATCGAGATCTCGCAACGAGAAATTGTTTGATCAATGATCAAATGATTGTAAAAATAGCAGATTTCGGTTTGTCGCAAAAAATCTATTTACAAGATTACTATAAAGGCGATGAACAAGATGCTATTCCAGTTAGGTGGATGCCTTTAGAAAGTATATTGTATAATAAGTATACCGTCGAATCTGATGTATGGGCGTTCGCGGTGTGCTTATGGGAAATATTTAGTTTCGCGCTCCAGCCTTATTATGGAATGACGCACGAAGAAGTTGTAAAATATATAAAGGAAGGCAATGTACTCCAATGCCCCGAAAATACTCCGCCGGCGATATATGATTTGATGAAACTTTGTTGGAACAGGAGACCATCAGATAGACCTACCTTCAGAACAATTTATAATACTCTTGATACTATAAAATACAATCTGGAAGCAGAAAATAAGTCGGATAGTGTACCATTGCGTATTCACGTTTAAGCTTGTTGATAATTTGTCTCTGAAGGAAATTCAATTATTTATAATTATGAAGTAAGTGATATTTATGAAAAGAGATAAAGGTAAGTGGTAAATTATACTAGATGTTATATACAACTGCCTTTGTTATGTTTGTTATGTAGCCTTATTAAATGAATTGATATATATTAGAAATGTGTTAAACTAACACATATTGGCTACTATTATGTTCACAAGAATGATTGCATGAATGCATCGAGTCAAATTTGTAAATTGAAAAAATCTTTTTATTTGATTTATATCTATTATTCTTGTAAATATACACTATTAAATTAATCTTTTTTTATAAAATGTATTTGCAGTTATTAAATTTAAATGCGATTTAAAAAGATAATCTAATCATTTCTCTAGATTATAAAATTATTAACAATTTATTTTTATTAATAATTTATTTAAATTTATGTCAAGACTAAAAAACTAAAGACTGCTATATATGAAAAACACATATATGTTATTAAGATATTGTATGAGTGTTTTAAAGCGATTTTTCGCACATACAAATTTTGATCTTGCATTGCGTTTTGTCTATTGTGATTTTATGCATTCCGTCAACGAATTTTACAATAATATATATAACATGTTACTAACTACCACTAAAAGACTACATATTTATAACAGTCCAATCTAATACTAAAAATGAAACTTAAACAAAACAAAGATTTCAGTGGTAATATTATAATTATAAAATGTTTATTACTATGTAATAAGAATGCAAAACTCAATGTTTTTTCTAAGTAAATAATAGATTAATTTGTGTGTTGCTATAATATTAACTTGTTTATATTTGCAAAGAAAAAAGTAAAAGTATGCTTATGAAAATTTATATACAGTATTGCTGTTACTCTTTTTGAAAGATAAAAATGATTTCATAATATTGAATTTCTTTAAACAAATATAATAATGATATTTAAAAAATATTTATTTAACATTCTATCAAAAAATAAAACTTTCTAATTAATAATAAATATTCAATAACTAGTAAGAATAATGAATTTTTCGTTTTTCGTTTTAATTAGAAGATATTTATATTACAAAAACAATTTTTATTATCTGGAAATATATACTTTTTTACTTGACATTTTTTTTAATATATTTTTATGAAAAATTCAAAAAAAAAAATTTAGTTGAACTAGTTGACTTGATAATTATAAGTATGTGCAAAGAGATTTATATACATATATAATTGTATGTATTAGCCATGTTTTTTTTATTTTTTCAAAATAAGAAGTTAAGAAACATACATTATGAAAAACAGGCAAACTTTCCTATATATAAATATATATAAAACAAAAAAATAACAATGTTTTACAAAGCCTAAGACAGATAATACTGAATTTATATAACTATGTGAACAATTTGGCTATAAAGAAATGGGTTTATATTTAGCAACGTTATATGTAAACTGTCCTTAATTGTTAGATGTTAGATCGTTGCTGTATTAAAAAACATAGCTTATTTAATGTACGAAAATTAATATCATTAAAAGCTATTATGACGAGTGTTATGGTAAAAAAATGAAAAAAGCATTAAGTGAGTGTATACTGTGCAACTGTTATACATAAGGTTTGAAAGTAAATTATTATTGTACACTAAACGATATTTAAATGAATGTTTTACTTGTAAAATAGAATTAATTTGAAGTATTTATTTTATAGGCATACAATATTATTAAATGAAAAAGTTTTTATAAGTGAAAAATGAAAATTTAGTTTGAATCTTTCTCATTTGTACTCTATGTTGACTCCAATTTTTTGTGATATAATTTAGTCTTTTTTCATTAATATTAAAATTATCTATTGGTATTTTATCACTGCATTTGCATTCCAATAGATGTATCTCATTCATCAGTATTTTCACAAGGATATATATATATATATGTTGCGAAGAGCATATTTATTTGTGAATGTTGTATCTTATGCTTAAGTATATAGATATGTGTAATATGAATGTCATTATCTAGTTGATTTCAAAAAATAATTAAATCATTTGGTTGAGCATTAGAAATACGACTTACTATATAGAAAAAGTGTGAATGCAATATTCAAATGCTCTTCCACAGATCTTTTTATACACGACTTTTATATTGTGAAGACGACAAAAAGAACTTTTACCAAGCCTGTGCTCTTACATCTGTGTATTTGTATCCTGTATAAGTAGAATTGTATATGATAATATGATATTACGATAATACGTGCACGATACGTATTATCTATGACCAAGAAATTTTTGGTATTATATACTTCGTTGAGTTCAGATGTGTTATTGACGATAGTAGACTCTATTCTGAATTTTATGTACAACAAACTAATCTAATTTGTAAAAACATAGAGATTCCTCGATACTCTATAAATCTTTAACGAAATTCATACATTTGCAAAGAGCAATCGATTACATTTTACTTTATTGTAAAGAATCATATTTAACTGAGCTAATAAAAATTGTGTACCTTATTACTACGATTATCGAGGAATTATCAATGAAATACTACGAACATGTTGAAAAAACTGCTATGAAACTTTTACTGATGTACAACTTTTACAAGAAATAAACAACCAATTTCATATATTCCATAGTTCGTTTATTATTTAGTTTCTTTATTTATGTAAAAAGTTTGGGACAATAATATTGGGACAATAAATTGCAAAAAAATAAATACATTGTTCCATAAATATATTTCCGCAAATTTTTTTCAATAAACTAACGTCAAATCATGGTATATAAAAAGCAAATTTATATAATATAATACAATCATACAATTAACATTCTTATAGCTACCTTATATGTGAAATATTTTGTATAGGCGATACAATAGTCGCATATATATCCTAGGAAACTACTGTTTTAAAATAATGCATATGCTTTAATAAAATGTATGTCTTTTTTGAAATAATATTCATAAAATTAGGAACAATAATTTACTGCTGTGTACATAATATTTGATATACATACATATTTTTAGCTGTACAATAAAAAAAAATAATTTTTCTCATGATTAACTAAACATTTTTACTATACAAATTAATTATAAAATTTTATAAAATGTAACAAAGATAAAATATATCACAACATTAAAATTTACACACATTAGTAAATCATTATTAAATTTAATTACTACTTGAATGATATGTTACCATAAAATTAAAAATTAAAAAAAATGCATTTATTTAATTTATAGAGTATTAAAAATAACTTTGGTTTATTCTTTGGATTTTGATAGATTAATTCTTAATATAAATTAATATGATTTCCTTGTAATGAAATTTAGTATCAAGATCTTAAATTTAATCACAGTAAAAATCACGTTCATCAATTTTATAAATCCTGTTTAAATTTACGATATTATTTTTTAAATGTAAATAAAATTTTTTATTCAAATTTATTAATTTATCGAGAACGTGCAATGTCCAAAAATATAATTCAAAATAACTAGATAATGTACATATATTTCAGTCCTTATTGTTGTCAGGCAGCATTATATTATTACCTGTTCTGTACTTTATATGTATTATAAGATCATCATTGATACTTTCACGTACGACATATTATTTTTTGCATGATATTTTATATTTTCGAAATAATGTAATTAAATAAAAAAACTAAATTCTAAAAATATGAGATCAAAATACTGACATTTTAAGTTATTACATTATTGCATTATAAGAATTGTTTAATAATAAATATTCGAAAAATAACAAAATGTTTGCAAAATAATATTTAAAAATTATTTAAAAAGATATACTATCATAATATTAATATAAAGTTAAAATATACTGTTTGTTATTTACGTAATTAAAAAATCTGATATTTCATCTTTAACTTGCTAAAAATAAGTACCTATATTCTCCTAAATATAATATTTAATATTTTTTGCAATCAAAATGCGTCTTTTATATTTTGAAACTGTCTTACCGCCAAATCAACTGGTAGATCAAATTTGTAGCTAGTAAGGCGATCGAGAGTATGAAACGCATCTTGGAAACCTATTTGTAACAATAATATAAAGATATTCAAAGATAGATCAAAATATAATCCAATAAAAATAGTTATTTGCATATTAATATCTTAATTACCTGTTTTTACAACATAACTCCATGATGTATAATGATTTTCAAGAAGATATTGACATTGCAAGATAAGTTTTAACCAAATAACAAGTTTGTTAGTGCTATAATAAAAGAGATATAAATCTTAAATTTTTATTCTTATAAAACGATTTTTAACTAATTTTCTTGTAAAATGTTTACTCACTTGAGAGATGCACATATAAATGCTTTAAAATGAGAATCATAACTCCTTTTGTATGGACTGTGTGATGCAATAATATTTCCAATTGTTGTTAATAAACTCTAAAAAATATAATTTTCTTTTAAAACAAATTCTATTTAAAATCAATTTAAAGAAAATATTACCACGCATATAATAGCTACCTGTTTAGAAGAAACAACTCTTCCACCTGCTAGATCAAGATTGAAACTTTGAGATAATTTCTGTGCTGGACTAGAATTGTAATGATGGCCATTTTTAATTCATAATACTTCAATATTAGTTCCCATGCATGCATTAAATTAGAAGTAGAAGAATTTCTTTGAGGAAAACATCCAACAAATGGTACTACACTATTAGAACGCGCATCAGACATTAAACCGTGTTGTATTAAATCACGTATGGAAGTTGCTAAATGCTTCCTTACAGCGGATGTTACTCGGGCATTGCAATGAGACATAGAATCTGAATCCGAAGCGTAATCGTCTTCATTAGCAATATCGTCATCTTCTGGATGACGCTCAACTTCGGCAATAGTCTCTATAACATGTTCAACTGCGATATCTAATCTCGTTCTTAAGTCGCGCCAATTATGTATAGAATTTTTCTTAAAGTTTCTTCGAACTCGTTCACTACCACAACCTAATTGAGATACTAGGAACATATGTAACAGAGCTACAACTTTCTTAACAGTGTTCAGAGTTTTTGTTCTACTTTCTTCATCTGATTTCCTGTTAAATGATTTTTTAGCATAGGAAGTAGAACCAGCAGAATTTGTATGTACTGGGCATGCACAGGTACACGCTAAAGTTTCTGTACTAACTTCTCCTTGAAGATAATTTATAAAACGTTCTAAATCTGCAATTTGTGTTTTTAATTGTGATACTAACTGCTCTTTCATTTTCAAAGGACTAACAATCTGTAAGCGAATTTTAAGTTAATTATTTTTTTTTAATTCATTAATCACTATTTTTTTGGTAATTTATTCTATTAGAGAAAACAATTTACCTGACTTATAGCATAATCTACTTGCCATCTTAAATCATCAACTGGTAATTTACAAAGATCATCAACATTGAAATTTAACTTTTCTTTTAAATGATCTTAAAAAAAATAATAAAAATAATAAAATCAGTATAAATTTTAATCGAGTATTTATTTAAAAAACTTACTTATTATGATATTCTGTCGCTCTAATATCATACTTTGTGGTAAATCTGCATCACCAGTTTCATAAGCATACTTTTCTAGATCTTCTAATTGAGATTTTAATTGACATATTAATTCTTTTTGTTTTGTTCTTTGTAATGTCATTTTAGATTCAACATCAATATCATTTATTACTCCAGATATCTGTTAAGTTATATAAAATATTGATTAATAAATTTTTAATAAAACATAATATAATTTTAAGAAATTAATAAAACAGATATATATAGCTAATTTTTATATAGCTTACACTTTGTTTACAAGACATTGGAGAAGTTGGCGTAATTGATCTGCTATCAAATGATAAATTATTTGGAACATCTGGTATTCCTCTAAAAGCGAATTCTTCTAATTCTTTGAGCAATGTTTCTTTTTCATTTGCTGGTGCATCTACAATTTGTCTTAAACGAAATTGAACCTAAGATAACCAAATTTTAAACATTAAAATATTGTATTTTGTAACAAATATACGAGTTATAATTTCATATTTATTTAATACCTGGGCAAAATGAGTAGTCAGTGCTATAAGAGATGAATTAAGCATTTCTTGCTCTTCCTCAAGCACTTTTAGCCTTTCCATATCATATGGTAAACTATTAGAATATATTAAAAATATTTATAAAATTAAATTTTTTACACACATACACAATTAACAGCAATAAATATTGCATCTGTTATATTTATGAAGCACTTACTTTTCCATATTATCGACATATTTATATTCATCAGCAAAATCATTATCACCATCATTTGCACCAACAGGCGCCCATCTCTCGCCTGATGGTCTATCACTTTCATCCGAGTTTTCGATATCCTCATTTTCACTACCTTTATACTCGCCAGAACTCATTTTCCTATTGTTTACGATCCTGATTTCTTTCGAAAATTCTACCTTGCCTTCATGAATCTTAGTTATAATTGATATAACAAACGTTTCAATGTATGACAATTCTTTTTTTATTTGTACATATTACATAAATTTAATTTTTGTTATAACACATTACAATGTCTTGTCTTCAATTCTCATCACGCTTAATCCATTAATTAACTTCTGCGCACGTGTACGAATGAAAACGTCACTTGTCGCTGTCGATTTTGCGCCAGCTAAGGCGCATTCTCATATCAAACAACCACAAATATTGTAGATTTAAGATTCGTTCACTTTTTAGGATAAAATTTGTATTATAATTGATTCATACTACTATACAGATAAAAATATTCAATAACGATTTTCTATATTAAACATGTATTTTTATTTTCGATCATGTTTATATTAATAAATTTTTACAAAATCTTTTTAATATATATTAGAGTTGCATAAAAATCTACAAACAATTGTTTAAATAAAATATTGAGGCGTTATGAACGAACCATTAATATTATCGAAGATTTTTATGGTAATCTCGTTGTATGTCTATAGTCGAATCTCACAAATGTGTCAAATTGTTTTATCTTTGAGAGAACATTCTTTATAGCTTTATTGGATCAGTTACTATTCTAATGATTGTATAAAAGAATAGAATATGCAGCAAATAACAGTGAGATATATTTATAAACAGAATTTTTAAAGAGAAATATCGAATAACCTACATCTCATGACATAACCAGTGTTGATCAACGCTTCATTACGTTTTGTACATTATTCTCATCTCTACTTGAGGAAAAAGAACTTATCAACAAGTGCATCGCGTATCATAGTATTCGCGATGATGTGGCAAGAAATAACTTTGACGAAGCCGGCACGTAAAAAACCGAACATTGACACATTAATAGCCGAATGATTTTCAAAAATTTCATAGAATAATTTTTAGTGAGTCCAGTTGTTTTATTCAGGAGTCTATCTTTTATTATAAATATATCGATGATAAAAAATCATTCTTGAAGTATTATAGGTAATAAAAAGAATTTTTCGATATTTTATAAATTTCTTTAATTCTGATTATTATAAAAAAAAATGTCATGATGTCTTTTTATAAAAAGTACATATTTTTCAAAAAAAATTGTAGTTATACATGAAATGGGTAGTGCTTGGTGGCAGTGTGCTGCATGTTTGAGAACACAAGAAGAAGATATCTGTGAATTGCACTTAAATAATTGTAATCTTTATGATGTACCACCTGATGTGTTCATTTATGAGAGAACATTGGAAAAACTCTATCTTGATGCCAATAGGGTAAAAATAAATACTAGTGATTGTTTTTTATATATTTATTTTTTTATTTATTCCTATGATTCAAAAACATAATTTTCATATTTTATTATAGATAAAGGATCTTCCAAGACCATTATTTCAGTGCCATGAATTACGAGTACTTTCCCTCAGTGATAATGAAGTCACAACATTACCACCCGCCATAGCATCATTAATTAACTTGGAGTATTTAGACCTCAGCAAAAATAGTATGAATCCAAAAATTTTATTATTTATAATTCTTTTTGTAAATAAATCATCAGTTTTTTTATTTATTTTTTTAGGTATTAAAGAACTACCAGACAGTATAAAAGAATGCAAAAATCTTCGCTCTATAGATATCAGTGTTAATCCATTTGAACGTTTCCCAGATGCTATTACGCATATTGTTGGATTAAGAGAATTGTATATAAATGATGCATACATAGAATATCTACCAGCAAATTTTGGAAGACTTTCAGCTTTGAAAACATTAGAACTTAGGGAAAATAATTTGATGACATTACCAAAGAGTATGAGTCGTTTAATAAATTTGCAAAGACTTGATATTGGTAATAATGATTTCACGGAATTGGTATGTTTATATTATATTTTTATATATATTCTATGATTACTATTTATTAATTTATATATATTGATTTCTTCTTTTCAGCCTGAAGTTGTTGGAGATCTTATCAATCTCACTGAATTGTGGATAGATGGTAATGATATCAGACGTATACCACTCAACATTAATCAGCTTTACCGTTTAAATCATTTTGATTGTACTATGAATGCAATTCATATTATTCCATCAGAAGTAGAAGGATGGAGAGATATTTCCATTATGCATTTGTCATCAAATGAAATCTATCAATTACCAGATTCTCTTTGCTATTTACGTACAATTGTGACTCTTAAAGTTGATGACAATCAATTGAATGCACTGCCAAATGACATTGGACAAATGTCAAACTTAGAGGAGCTTATAGTTACTAAGAACTTCCTCGAATATTTGCCATCATCAATAGGACTTTTGCGAAAATTACATTGTTTAAATGTAGACAATAATTATTTGAGATGCCTTCCACCAGAAATTGGAAGTTGTACAGCATTGTCATTGTTGTCATTGAGATCAAACAATTTAACTCGAGTTCCACCTGAAGTGGGACATTTATCTTCTTTAAAAGTACTTAATCTTGTAAACAATTGCATTAAATTTTTGCCCGTTTCTATGTTAAACTTGAGCAATTTAAAAGCATTATGGCTGAGCGACAATCAAAGTCAACCATTAGTGCCATTACAACAAGAATTTAATTGTGAAGAAGATATGATGGTGTTAAGTTGTTTTATGCTACCACAAAAACCACGGCAAGAACTTGAACGTAAATATCTATTTTTATCTATTTGATAATATATCTATATAAATTTTATTCATTATATAATAGTATAAGTTTATATATAATAAAATATGATCCACTATTGCTGCTAGTGGATAATGAAGAAGAAGATGAAGAATGAAATGGTAAAGTATGTGCTAACAAATTTATTCATTAAAATATATTAATAATGATATTATTTAAAAGTAATTAAAAATTCTTAATATAAATGTATATAAATGTATATAATTAGAATTTCGTTTTTTTTTTTTTTTGTTAGAAATAACACCAGCTGTAGGATTAATTTCGAGTTCAATTGTTGGTACTGGAAAAAGAATATGTTTTGCTGCTGAAGTAGAATCTGAGATCCCTAGACAACTTCACCGAGCACCAACTCCTTATCCTAAAGAGCTGCGCAACCTTGCTAGGCATGCCCGCAATTTACATCATCAATCAACGCATGATGAAAGAGTAAGTGCGATTTAAAATGCGATTATTCTTTTCTTAATTTTATATCATTTTTCTTCCTTTTTTTTCATTCTTTTTTTCAAATCTAACAAGAAAATCTTTATAAAATAAGAATAATATTGCAGAATATAATAATTTCAAAGCCAATTAAAATATTTTTTTTATATTTTTTTATATGTATTTTTTATAATTAATATCTAGAATACAAAAAAATTGCCAATTGAAACTTACAGATGCATTTAGAACAGGAGACTATGATCAAAGAAGCTATTATTGCTACAACTACTTTGGATCTTACTTCAAAATCTGGGACCTGTTTTTCACAAAGTTTATTTAATAAGGTATTCATTAGAGAATTATGAAAAAGGCAATTTTATTAGATTGAAAAATAATTATTAATGATTTTGATAATAAAGTTAAATGAATATTACAATAGATTAAAATATGATTGAAAATAAATGAATTCAAGAAATACAAAAAAATATACATAGTTACATTAAAAAATAAATCAATATTAAATAGAATTTTATAGGGATAATCATAAAGTTTCTGTAAATAAAGAATAAAGAATTATCAAATAATTTCAAATTTCTATTCTTTAGGGTTCACATTCATCACTATCACCAACTGAACATCATATATCAAAAGAGTGCAAAGCTAGTACTCCTACAGATATTGGAACAGAACAATCTGTTTCAGAAGAATCTTCCGACGAAGCGAACAAGACGGTTCTTGCAAAGGAAAAAAGTCCAGATATCAGAGAAGCAAAATATATTCGTAATCCTACATCTGAATACATTTCCAAACCTCCAACAGTAGCAGACTATGTAAATTCTACTTGGAAACCAGATGAATATTCGAAAGCAAATACAGCAAAAATTATTGAATCAGAAAAGTTTATAGAACCTTATAAAAGTATACCTATTATTACAAGCAACAAGAATACCGATCATGTTCAAATACCAAAAGTAAATGAAGTACCACCTGTCCCACCACCATATCATATTGCTGCTGCATTTTCAAAAAAAGCAGCACTTTTTCAACAATTAAATCAATGTAAGTCATTTTTTTTTTATTGTTAAGATGATAATATACATATGGATTTTTTATTTTGTCATTGCAGCAGCCCAATTGGATTTATCTCCTCCAAAAATTGATATTAACACATCAAATTTAAAAATATCACAGGAAACGCAAATACAAAGTTATGACGAAGAACAATATAATGATAAATTTTCATCAAATAATACAGATATAATTAATACAACAAATAATGATGAAAAAATAAATTCTTTTAGTAATATTGATCAAACACATATATTGACAGAATCAATAGGTCCAGAACAATCCTTAGAAGGAGATAGATCATTAAAACCAAGTAGAATTCCTATTTTAAAAACAAAACATTTAGAAAATACGAATTCTATTTCAAGCAGCGATTTATCAAATAAATGCACAAACTCTTCTGTTGAAGATTATGAAGCTTTAAAAATATTGAACGCATCATGTATACCTACATCTCCGATAACAGGAAAAAAATATCGAAGTCCGCTTTCTATGCAACATAAAGTTTCGGATCGATCGAAAAAAATAATAAATGGAACTTCAAATAATAATGCTTCCTGTGATAATTTATCTATGAATGTAACAAATTCAACTTTAGTTACAAATCCAAATATGGAAGGAACTTCAAAAACGTTATCTATTGAAACATCATTAAATATGAACAATTCTGTCAATATAAAAAATGAAGCTAATTCTGGTCGAAGTACTCCAATTTTATCAAATAATAAATTTCCAAATGAAGTGACCAATTCTAATGTTGATAAATATAAAATTGTTGGACGGAATGAATCATTAAACCCAGAAAGAAAACCAAGATTTAAATGGATGTTCGGGCCGCATAAAAACGCTAATGTTGTATGTTTCTTTTTCTTTTATTTTTTTCTTTTTCCTTGTTTTATAATAATAATTACGTAATACTTTTATGATTTATAATTTATAATTTATTATTTGTACAGTTGCCTGTCCAAGTGAAAAAAAATCCTGGTCTTGGTTTTAGTATAGCAGGTGGAGTAACAGGAGCCGAAACCGTAAAT